AGGTGGGCCTACAGAGCTGCCTCCAGCCCAGCTATCCAAAATGCATAAGAGCAGCCTTATTCATATAGAGCTCCAAACTGGAAAGAGCCCAGATGTCCATCAACAGAAATGGCGTCACAGATTGTGACAGATTCACACAATGCAATCCTACCCAACACTGCCACCAGGACAAATGATGAATATGCTCAAAACTGTGGCTCGATCTCAAAATGATTATGTGAAGTGAAAGAAGAAAGGGACAAAAAAAATATGAACTGTGTGATGCCATTTATATCAAGTCAAACCCAGACCAAACACATTCTATGGTGTTTGAAGCCAGAAGGAACAATTGCCTTTGTCGGGGCAGTGATCTGCCAAGTAAGGCATTCGTGGGAATTTTCTGGGGTGATGAAATGCTCAATATGGTGTTTTGGGTGGTGGTTACACAAATGTATGCAACTGTCAAAACTCATGGAACAGAACATTGAAGACCTGTGCATTTTATTGTATGTAAAGTGCATAGCTATGTGAATAAACAAAATAAAACAATAGCATAAATTTAAAAGCTGCATAAAATCGCCAACTTAAATGGCAACACCTAAGTCACCATGTTTGTTTTGTTTTGTGGTGGTTGAAACATAGCAGATTCCTCACCTCAGGGAGAACGAGAACCCACAGGGACCTGGAGAGGCCACCTCCACTTCCCCAGATGGCTTGGCTGTGTGACGCCGCCTGTGGACACCCCCAGGCCCGGTGTGGCTGGGTGTGGTCCACTCACCTGAACCTTCCGATCCGCCGCAGGTGTGAGAACATTTCCCCGCCAGGCACATACTCCATGATCATGTATAAATTTGAGTTGTCCTGTGGGGAGCAGCAGCTGATCAGGGCCCTGTTCCCTAAGCCCTGGGCCCCAACCGAAGGCCTGGAGGCCTCACCCAGAAGGTATCAGAAATATGGTGAACATACCAACGTAGGCTCCTGTATAAAGCATGTGCCAAGGACCAGGTGCTGTGTTCACTGAACTACCTGTCTCATTTGCTTTTGCTCATGAGGGAGAAGGGAGAGCCATCGCTCTGCTTATGGGGGTGAAAGGGAGGGCTGGCTAGAGGTGCCTGGGCTGCAGAAGAGACTCCATAGCAGCTCATGTCTGTGACTGTCCTGAGCAAGGCTCTTGGGCCACAGTTTTCTCATCTGTAAAATAGGACCAGGATAGGCTACAGAATTTATGGGGGCCCCCCAACATAAAAATGTGAGGCCCTTTGCTAAAAAAAGTGATTACAAATTTCAAGACAGCAGTAGTAGAGCATGATATCAAGTGTGGGCCCTTGTGACAGCCTTGGTGGCAGGCCCTGACTTTCAAAGTCTCAGCTTAGGACAGCACCCAAAAATCTCTCACATAGGGTGCTCATAATGTGCTCGGAACTGTCATGGCAACCCCACCAGGTGGAGACTGTTATGATCCCCATTTTACAGATGAGGAAAATGAGCCTCAGGGCAGTGAAGCATCACAGAGGCAGGTGGTGCAGAGCTTGGATTTAAACCCAGGCCATGTGTCAGGTTCTTATAAATGGAGCAGTGATTTTGAGGGATGTCATCCAGGTTGAGTGTCTCACCTGCCCAAGATTATCAGCTTAGACTCAGGAGTTGAACTTGGGTGTATTAAGAGTTCCAGACTGATACCCGCCCCCGCCAACAACCAACACCATCAGTGGGTGGGCCTCCCAGGGCAGCCACTGGCTGTCCTTGGCCCCCAGGTGTGGTTTCCTTCTCTGCCCCCTCTATTCCCCGACGGCTGGGCCCCCACCTTGAAGGAGAACTCGAGTCTAACGAGGAACGGAAAGTTGACTGCCTGCAGGATGCGCTTCTCGTTCAGGGTGTGCTCGATCTGTTTCAGCTTTACCACCTGTGGGCCGGGAGGTGGGTGGAGAGGAGGGGGGGATGTGAGAGGGCTCTCTCACCCCCCCCCCCACCGCTGAAGTAGGGGTGCCAGGGCTGAGCTGGTTCCTATGAGTATCTGGGACCTGTGGAGCTGAGGCAAAACAGAAGGCTGAGGCTGCCTGCCTGCATGTGTGGTGCAGGGCAAAATACATGTCACCAGGCCTCTCAGCCCAGAGGGGTCAGAGCCTTGGTGGGAGAAGCTCTGTGGGTGGCCAGATGAGGTGCCTGGCAAAGTCTGGGGGGCAGGAGTAGTTAGAGAAGGTTTCCTGGAAGAAGAAGCAGTAGAGCTAAAAATGAAAACACAAGCGGGAGTAATGCCAAGAAGCGGAGGGCTTACAAATACCTTCTCTGCATCTAGAGCGCCCCCAAACACCCATCTGAACCCTGGGCTAATTCCTCCTCAGCCCTCAGCTGTCCCCAGCAGGCACCCTGAGCGTAGTAATAGAAGCCTTGAGAAGTATGCACTGAGCATGCCAGTTTGGAGCCTGGAGAAGGGAAGTGACTTGCCCACAGTCACAGGCAGCTAGTCAATGGCTGGTTGGTGTGTCTCAGGCAGGCAGCTTGGCCCCTCCGTCAGCTCTGAACCCGTGTTCAGAAAAGGCTGGGGCCTTTTTCACTTTGCTCACGGCTGTATCCTTTGGGTCTATACCTACACTACCCAGTACCATCCACACTAGCCATATATGGCTGCTGAGCACTTGAAACATGGCTGGTTGATTGGGGAATCGAATTTAAAATTTTAAATATCTAAAGTGAAAAGTGAAAGTTATCCAGTTACTGGATAACTTTAGAGCCTATCTGGAACAACATGGGCTATGCAAACCTGCTCTTTCAACTCCTCTTTCTTGTCTTTAGAGTAAAAATTTAACATCAGAATGCAGACGTAAGTATAAAATGTAAGCTGGATTTCAAAGACTTGGTATGGGAAAAAAGAATATACAATGTCTCATTAACGATCTTTTACGTTGGTTAAATGTGTATTGAAATGATAATATTGAAGATATACTGGCTTAATTATAACATAATGTTAAAATGCATTCCACCTGCTTCTTTTTGAATGGGGCATCTAGAAAATTTAAAATCATACATGGCTTGTGTGACATTTCTACTGGACAGCATTGCTCTAGAGCAGTGCCCAGCATTAGTAGGGTGTCAAATATTTATGGAGTAAGCAGACCTGTGTAAACACTACCTCTCCCAGGAAGACCTCCGGCTTTCTTAATGTAGGATAGGTGTCTGACTCTGTGCCCAGTGCCTGGATTCCCCTTGGTGGCTGGCCTGGAGAGAAAGCTCATGAAAGCAGCATGATGCCCTTCTGGCCCTCAAGTCTGCCACATGATGGGAGCTCAGGAAGTAGTTGGTGAGTAGATGGGCAAGAAGAGCAGCAGGTGGCACTGGGCCGCCAGGCAGAGCCGAGCTCACCTTCTGTTTGTCCAGGATCTTCATGGCGAAGTGGCTCCCGGTCTCCTTGTGTTTTACTAGCATCACCCGCCCGAAGGAGCCTGTGCCGAGGGTCTTGATTCGTTCAAACTGATCCAAATGGGCTGTATTCTGTGAGCAGAGGGGTTGAGAGGTTCAGGGACCCCCTACCCTGGGGCCTGCTGGGATGGAGTCTGGGGCATCCCCTTTTCCACCAGCAGAGGGGACCCTGGGGTGCAGGGGGAGTAATAGGGTGAGGACAGGGGGTGGAAAAACAAGATGGTGGAGGGCACAATCCTTGAGGTGGATGGCAGGGGCCAGATCTTGCCCTGGCCCGGAGCCCAGGAGGTGCTGGTACCTGTGTAGGGGGCAGGGACCACCAGTTGGAAGGGGGTGGTAGGGTGGGGAAGCCCGGCAGTGGGTGATCAGGGTGCCTTAGCCCAGGGCATCTAGGCACTCTCCACAGGGCCCTAAAATCCTAGCCATGTCATAGGGATGCGGCTGGGAGACTGGGGGCCATCAGCTCACCCCTCCCAGGGCTCTGCACCTGCTGGGGCTTACCTGAGCAGGATTTTCCCATTTTTTAAGAAAATCTTCTTTGGCTTTGGCTAAGAACTCTTTCACTGGAAGAAAGAGAGGGGAGAGTTAGATGGAGACCCTGTCTCATTTGGGTGGGCCCAGAGTATTACTGGGGAGATGCCCATGTGTAGAAAGTGAGGTGCAACTATCTCAACCCAGAGCCTGACCTTTCTTCCCAGGGCCTTTGGGGGCTCTGGCTGAGTCCGAGGGCAGCTTGGGGGGCCTTGATCTGGGCTGCAGACTGGGCCCCTTTTTCTATAGAGAGGTGGGATCCAGTCTCTGCTCTCTCCAAAATGGGGTGCAGGGTGACTTGGGGGTCACTCTCAGGGGGACAGAGGGCAGCACCCAGGCCAGCCCACCCCCACTCGCCCCAGTTCTGACTGACATTCCACGGCCAGGGACGACGCCAGCTGAGGTATTTATAGCCTCAGGATTTGGCTGTTCCTCAGGCCCCTTCTCTGGGGAGGCCAGGCCAGGGTGGAGGCCTCTGGGGCTCATGTAGCAGGCGCCCTTGGGGGGCTCAGCTGTTGCCTTGGCCCCCACGTGGCTCTGTTCCTGCCTTTGCCAATCCAGGGGCCCTGGCTCCAGAGCTGGTTCAAAGGAGTCCTCACCTGATGCCCGTACCCCAGGAGCCCCTCAGTACCCCAAGGAGAATATCACCATCCAGCTACTACTGAGGACTTCCTGGTGGGCAGACCCTGGGCCTGTTCATTCAGTTCACTGGCCAACCTTCCTTTTATCCATTCTCCCCATTTAACATCCTAGGAAACTGAGGCTTGAAAAGAGTCATTCTCCCCAGTGCCCAGAGACAGTCCCGCAAAGCAGTTACGGGCCAGGGCTCTGGGACTGAGACCAAGCTCAGATCCTAGCCAGGTCCTTGATAAGGTGTGAGACCTTAGGCAACTGAATTCACTTTTCTGGGTCTCAGTTTTCCTCATCTATAAAATGGGGATGATAGAAGTAATGACCTGGCAGGGTGGTTGTGAGGACTGAATGAGTTAATCTTGGCAAAAGGGGTTCGACAAGTGGCCTGCATGAAGTTAGTGCCGTGTAACTGTCAGCTATTAATTTTGCTTTCAAGTATTTTAAAAATGGAGATATAAAATATAGGAGGTGCGTTGAGTGCTCAAATCTTAAATGTGTGGCCTGATAGATTTGTATATTGTGGACCTGTCCTTATCACCATCCCCCGGGGCCAGGCACTGTTGTTCAGGGACCCTGCCTGTGTGCCAGCCCTGTGACAAATGCTTTCTATGCTTAATTCCTACCCTGATGGCTTGGAGCTGCTATTACTCTTATTGCACATAAGAGAAGACTGACCAAGCCTGAGGGTGCCTGCCGGACGGACCTCACTGCTCACAAGATTAACTGCTTCACTCCTGATGGGTCACAGTGCACTAGGGTGGCCCACAGACAGAGCTGTCCTGGACCCCCTGATGTTCCTGGATGGCTGCTACTCAGAGAGGTCCTGTACACTTGTACTTTGACCTTGCCTGTCATCTGCCTGTCCCGCTCATATGCAGTAGCAGGAGTTCCACATGGCTTTTGGATAGTCATTACTTCCCCACTGACCCCAAGGATTTCCCTCAGCGTTCGGACAAAAGAGCCTTCCATGAGGCTACAAGAGTGGCAAATGTAAGAGAGACCGCTGATCAGGAAAGCCCTCCAGAGAGTGACCAGGCAGAAAATGGGGAGTCAAGGAATGGCCAGGAGTCCTAGGCTGGTGTCTGGCTTGGCCACCAACTGTCTGAGAGGACTCTCTGAGTCTGGGGACAGCACCACATCCAATGCTTTCAGTAGCAGAATCTTTTCTGATACATACCACTTTCCTTGGACACCTGCAAATGTATACACTGAATTCTGGGTGAAGGTGAGACGGAGGGTACCCTCTTGGGACTCTACTTTCACCCACTCAGGGAGACAGGGAGGACTAGGCTTGTGAGGAATCCAGAATGACTGGTCCTGCTTCCCCTTTTGCTCTCAGCCATCCTTGAGAACTGCCATGTCCTGCTTTTCCCTACTCAGTAAGCCTTTGCGTCTCTCTGGCTATCTGCGGGTACCCCGCTGAGAGGCTCTACAGGGTGCCTTGGTCTTACCACAGTAGAAGGGCTAAGGTTACATCCCCTCTGGTGCCATTGGTTTGCCAGATTTGGGGATAGGGCGCAGGGGATGGGTGGTGCCAAGAGGAACAGGCAGAGAGAGGGATAATGATGGGGGACCCCAGCCAGGAGCCCCCATACTCACCTCTGCTTCCTGCCTCTTCCAGCAGAGGGTGCAATAGGGGATGGAGTGGGATGGGGTGATCTGAGGCCCATCTGCCCCTGGCTGGGGAGGCTCAGGGTGCTGGCTGTGGCTTAGGTGCCCAGAGGGCGTGGCGCAGGTAGCTCAGGAAACGGACAGTCAGGTGGGCCCAGAGAAGCAGCTGAAGCCACAGCTGGAAGGTAGTCTCCGAGTCCCCACCCTGGCCACTGCCTGACCCCAGATCCATGCCAGGCTACCTTGGGCTCTCCCTGGAACCTTCCCTTTGCAGGAGAACCAGGAATATGCAGAGCCTCTGAGCTGGCTTCCTCGGGAGGGCCTCGGGGGACCCTGGAGGAGGAGCTGGTTGCCAGGGAAGCATTTAAAGGTACCTAATCCTGGCTGGCCAAGGTTTGCAAAGGCTCTCCTTGGCAGGAGGTGGTGGGAAGATTATCCTGAGGGTGTCCCTCCTGGCTGGCCTGCTTGTCTAGGGGGCAGGGTGCTAAAACTAACTTCCCATTCCAGGGACTTCACTGCTCCCAGAATACCAGGCTCTGACTTCCCCAGTGGGTGCTGGACTACCCAAAGGATGGTACTCGATGTGTCCTGGGCAGTGCCCACTAGGCAGAGGGGAAGGAGTTAAGGCTTAGGCCCAAGCAGCAGCCAGGGACTCCCTGGGGGCTAAAGAGGCCCCAGAGCTCCATTAATTAGCAGAAAGAGCAGCTGGAGAGAAAGGCAAGGGTGGGGGGAATTGAAAGCCACCCTATCTCCTCCCTTGAGTCTACTTTGAACCAGAAGCCCCAGATTCCTGCTACCACAAGAGAGAAATGGGTACATCTGGCTTTCTCTTGCTCCTATGCGGGGGCAGAGAGGGGAACGGCATCCTGGGATGTCCTTGGCCTCTGTCAAACCTTGCCCTGTGCTTGGCTCTGCTCTCGGCCATGAAAGTCCAAACCGGAAACGAAAAGCTAAACCCAGGGGTGGGGGAAGGGGGAGCTGCCTTGACCATCTTCCTCCTTCTTTCTAGATCCCAAAAGAAGTGGAGGGTCAGTAGCAGCTTCTCCCACAGTGCCCGGCACCAGTGGCCCTTCTGACAACAGGAAGTGGCAAAGAAGGGAAACCCAGCCAGCTGCTGGCTTGTGAAATCTGCAGCCCTGCCCATATATTCCACAGGGGGAGTGCCAGGCTCCACTCTGGTCCAAATTCGATTTGGACTCACAGAGAGAACCCAGAACTCCTTGAAAAGCCAGGGCCGTGGCAGGAGGCAGGAGCCCAGCCTCAAATCCCTCCCTAGACAACAATCTCAGTACCTCTGCCCTCTGAAACTTGGTCGTCCCAAGAATTCTAGGGCAGAGATACCCAGCCTGGGCTAGACCCCGTACCCCAGGCTGGCTGATTCATCCAGCCTGGCTTGGATTCTTTGCTCTGCTGGAACATCCTCCAGTTTGAACTGGACCCCAACACTGCACCAGACCAATCCCCATTCTAAATTGAACCCCTGTTCTGGACTAGGAGATCCCCCAGTCTGAGCTGGACCCCAGTACTGGGCTGGAACACTCTCCAGTCTGATGGATTCCCATTATGTGTTGGACCATCTGACCTGGACCCCATCACTGAATTGGATCAACACT